TCTTTTTGCAGTGCGATTAAAGATCGAATACATTTCAAAACTAAATAACTCTCAATCCAAAAACAAAACTGATCAAGAAACATCGTTTCGCTAACCGAAACGCATTCAATTCCGCGTTCTCCATATCCGCCAATCGTAAACGTTTTCCCTGCGGTCACGTGCAGCCAATCCGCGGCCTCGGCTACTTGGTACAAGACGACGCACGTGAGTTCGCGTCCGGTGACGTAGCGTGGACAGGGCAGCGCCCCGCACGCCGCCTCGACGACGTACCACAGCCCGCCGTCAACGCTCGTCACGCCACCTGGTTTCACATCCGGATCTTCGTCGACGCAGACGAAGTTCGTGCGGCCCTTGTGCGTGGTGTGTTCAGATGCGAGGTACCTGCGAGGACGAGAACGCGGGTAAGAGACGATGACGATGACGATGACGATGACGATAACGATGACGATGACGATGACGATGACGATGACGACGACGACGCTCGAGGTGAAGTGTGAATGTAGCGAGTGATACCATCAACGTCGTCATGTGTGTGTGTGTGTGTGTGTGTGTGTGTGTGTGCGTGTGCGAGTGCGTGTGTGCGTGCGTGTGTGTGTGTGTATGTATGTATGCGTGCGTGCGTGCGTGTGTGTGTGCGTGCGTGTGTGTGTGTGTGTGTGTGTGTGTGTGTGTTTGTGTGCGTGCGTGCGTGCGTGCGTGAGTGCGTCCGTATATGCGTGTGCGTGTGCGCGCGTGTGGGCGGGCGGGCGTACGGGAGTGCTCGTGCGAATTGAAGAACACTTACCAGGATTTGCTAATTCCACGGAGAAGGTGTCGTTATGTATTAGGTAATAGGTACAGGATCCTCGGAAACTGTATTTAGTGCCGTCAAATGTCGTGAAGTGGGCTCCGACTACACTGCAACGTGCTTCACATTTCTTCGCTGTGCATAGCCACCTGCCTCCTGCACACTCACTGCAAGAGCACACAACGGGACCAATAAAACATATACAAAACACGGTAGTGGGTGTGCTACCCCCATCAGCATGGAATGCAAACTCATTGCATGATGCATGGAATGACCATCTGTCAACGGGCAGAGGTGTAGGTAGCATTTTATATAATAGTCATAGGTGGAAGAATGCTAGGCTGTAAGATTTTACAATGGCAAGGTCGTCATCAAACGAATTATGAGAACAAGAATGCGGTAAAAATTTCATCCTAAATGCGTTGAGAGTAAACAATGAAATTACTTTTCTGTAAAGCCGTGTTTTCAGCGGTAGTTTACTTCAAACTCTCTGGAACCAATCGCTTTATTATAACACTATTAGCAGACAGAGTAACTAGCACGCAATAATGACTACACGTTCTGCAGCTGCGCTGCTTTTCAGTAGGCGAAATCATACCGCTTACCAACGATTGCAGTCTTGATCGATAGTAGAACCAGATGGATAGTCGGTTCCTTGGTAGAAGCAGGGACATTCCACCTGTCGAACACACCTACCATCAAGTAGGACTGACCCAGAGGGGCAATGACACCCCTCTACACAGTGATCATCCTCGCAGTCATAAACCTGACCTCGACACGATCTGGGGCACGACGTGCCGCACGAGTTGTATTCCATGCCAGCGGAGCAATCCATCGCTAAATTAAATGAAGCACGTTATTATATTGTCTGCTAATACTGCCTGTGCCGCTGCTAAAGACGGCGCTGCAGTCGCTGCAACTGCGGTAACAATGGCGACAACAATCGCTTGGTTTCCGATGAGCAATATAATCATTCAAATCGACGCTAATCGTGCAATGCTCGCAGTATTACTTACGGCACAGATCCGTCTTTCGCCACGTGAATGCTAACGATGGATTCATACGGAAACATTCGCGGAAATACGCCTCGAAGCTGAAGCAGAAGCAGTCATCCCTTTCCATGCCACACTTGCACGTGTCCCGCTGGCACGATTCAATGTAGAAAGTAGGATCTAAGACCTGCGAAAATAAAAGAAAATCGAAGTAGAATTAAATGTGGGTTATTTTCATGTTCTATGTGATAGCATTATAGAATAGCGGGTACAGCGTAATATGGTTATAGTTGAAATTTAACTGCAAGAAAATTCTAACATTTTTATTATTATTATTATACCGTGAGGTGTTTTGTTGTCGTTGCAAATTAACCCTGTTAAATGCGTTAAAGCAGCAGGCCACTGATACAGTAAAAATATTCACAGGTTCTCAATTATACAATTAAATATATATAAAATAACTCCAGGTTGGTCATAAATAACTCATAACAATAGTTGGTCCAATCTCCTTCGCGTGGTTCGCAACCAAACTGCTTACGTCGTGGCACGCGGCGTACTCCGTAGACCTTAGCCGGTTACAGGAGGTGCCAGCATTTAGTGCGATACTCATGTCACCCCTGGCAACGACGCTACTGCACTCATTCTCTACGTTCTCCGTATTTGGACATTGATCTGAATTAGGGCAACATAGACAATCATCGACAACATAGAGCATTGACCATAAAATGAAATGACAATGATGAATATTGTTTTTCATAATTACATTTATGGTTGATAGATGGAAAAATGGAAATTGTTGGATAAGGATACGTTGACACAAAAACGCGTATAGCGGCGATTATCTACTTTAATATAATTATAGACCTATTATACAGACACGGCGACTGGCTTAATTCAAATCACTCAATCAATTTAACTTAATTAATTGTACAGCACCTGACGTCGTCATTAGATGACAAGTATGATTTATTGCTCGCGATAATGGATATATAACAAGATTAAGCAGCATTCATTTAGCAGCAGCATTGTTGCCGTCACCCACCTTCGGCAGGGTTCATCTTCCAGCTAGTGGCAAAATCCAGAGGCGATGCTGCTACGCGGCCTTCAATGGTGGTGAAGTCATTGGCGCGATTTTCGTCGAATACGCCGCACAAACCGCACGTCTTGTGCGCAAGGGCGCTCGTTACCTGACCAAACAAGCGAACGGGTTAACGCGATTCGCTCCTCGCGGTTCATTGCTAAGAGCGCTTACTGTTCTAGGACTTATCGATACGTCTATATATGGCCCAGGTAACATTCTAACATTCCCATAAAAAATTTTTGCATGCATAAAATAAAATACATAAAATACGGATGATTCTAGATTCATTGCAAAGACATTAAACAGCCCAACAACACGCTTAAACAAGCCATCTGCCCCTGTACAATGGCAATGATATGCAAACAAAGTTAGATGCCCTGATTAGGCAGGCTCACAGCCCACCTAAACTTTGTTATCAATGAGTTGTTTTCGACGGGAAAATAACATTGAATGAAATCGAAATCGAAGTATTCAGATGTAATCGAAGATACTCATTATATCTGCGAGAAGTACAAAATTACTCTTCATCGTGTGCATAAGTGCACATAAGTGCATAAACAATAAGTTATATGTGAGAGATACGATTGTGGTGCTTGGTAACTCACGTCAATAAAGACAGCTTCCTTTGTGTCCCACCGCAGTCTGAAACCGAAGTCACTTTCCATAATAATCAAGCCTCCTGTCTTCTCCAGAAGAAGACCATTTACTGTCACGGGAATCGCTATGTTCTTGCCATTCACGTAAGCCCCTGGAAATCCTGAATAAACAGTGAATTACATTTGATTGCGGCTTCGTGTGTTATATTATATTATACCAATAAATCGTATATGCTTCGGGTATTACGTACATTACATACTTGTCTATCTCATCACATATTATCGGCATATAACTGACTATAGCCCTACCAAGGTTATTAATTTTAAAGGAGTCGGTCATATAAGCCGTTAGCATTCGTATTTGTCAATTTTCGTGAGGTTTATGACATGAAGAGGACATTAGCGGCAAATCGTAAATCGCCATCACCAGGGCATTACCAAACCAGAACATTTTACAGCATATGTTAAAGAGTTTTTTAAATTTAATTTATACAAATGACGTGATTTTGTCGTGGCCTAGGCGTTGCGCATGCACTTAGTGCGACTAATTGGCATAATTCGGCCGATAATATTATATATATATATATATATATATATATATATATATATATATATATATATATATATATATATATATATATATATATATATATGCTAGTTCATGCCTATACAGACAAACAGACGCATCTATGTACGCATATAGGTCATGTGATAAAAATACAGTACAGAGATATGGCAAATATCTCAAAACAATTCTAACCGGAAATTGACCCAATAATTCAAAAACTTCTAGTGACATTTCCATTAAATGCCAATATGAATATCACTGATAAAATACTCAAAAAATGATAAATGACATCAATTCATGTCACTAAATTATCACCGGTCAATCCCACTTATTAAATAAATGCAGCCATTGAATTCAATTCAAATAGATTGGTGTTACGCAACGAGGCAGATTTTGTGCACTGCGCCTCGTATACACAGGAAGTGGTGTGTTCCTGCTCATATCCTGTAAAATCTCGTCACGGATGTAACCGTGTCGTAGTTTTAGTGATAAATTCAGCCATGCGTTTAAAGCACTAAACGCAACAAGGGGGGTTGATATTACATGGTAGAATTAACATATTAATTTAATTGACGTTATAGAAACGCATCGGTTGCTATCTGCGGAGCGCAAACGATGGTAACTAGCTAGTCTACAAAGGTACGGTAATATAATACATGTTAACTTGGATGACCGATACTCATTCTTTTAATACGCACGTTATTCCGTACGCTGTTTCTGGACGCTGCTCGATGTTTTCAAGATTATGAGAAAATCGTGCAATTTTTTATTATAATACTTGTTTAAACTGCAGCTGTGTATTTTCTACTGGTCTGTCCTTTCTATATGAGAATAAAACTTTTGTGTGTAATATTGTACCATGACACATGTTAAAATATAGTGCAGAAATTGCGAAGCTTTTTAAAATTAGCACTGTGTGCACATCAGCCACGTCGCACCTTGTGTTGTCTGGCGCACCTGCGTTTATGCACACTGCACAGGATGTAACCTGGGAAAGGATGCTAGGCTAATATGCTCTGCTGGCTCGCTGCTTCACTGTGCCACTCATTAACATGCAGTCAGGAGTACCATCCAGGATCATGCACGTGCTTGGTGGCGCATAGTATACATCGAACGCGATAATACAACCGGCTATCGCGGGAGAAGCTCTAAGTAATTTTACTCAAGTAAAATTATGCATGCGTCAAAATACTCACATGTGCGGCGGATTTTCGTTGAGTATTTTGACGCGTGCATAATTTAGTACTAGACGGGCTTAAGTACATACAATCGATGGCGTTATATTTCCCCGGTGTCCATAACTGCTCGTTTGGTCGAAGCAAGCGCGTAGCATTTTCACGGACATATTTGGTGTATCGTAGCATTTACTGTCTATATAACTATCGTTCTAATTTATCTCACTCTATACACGTAGGACACGACCGTTAATGTACGTGATTTTTATCCAAAGCAATTGGTTATACATTGATGAATAAATAACGCAAATAGTGAGTTTCCTGCCGTTAGCGCATATAGGACTGTAATTTTGCTGGCGGATGTGTGTTGGTTGCTGTGGGCTGCTGCAACTATGAACACCAGACAAGGTGCAGCAGCAGCTTCCTTATGTTTAATTTCCTGTGGCTGCCACAGGATGAAGGTGAGCCGGTAGACTGTATCCCACAAAGCTCGCCGACCAGAGTCGTTCTCTATGTATATATATATATATATATATATATATATATGTATATTATATATATATATATAGAGAGAGAGGGGGGGAGGGCGAGAGAGAAAGAGAGGGAGAGAGAGAGACTCGCATACGTCTACCTGCGCCTTAGGAAACCTATAGACGATATCATTTCAGCGCGTAACGCAAAATGTAACAAATATCCGGCATTTGTTTAAACAATTTGTTGACTTCGGCTCTGATGAAAATGTCGATTAAATGTTGCATTAATTACCTGTTATTGGGTTATTTTGGAGGATTACTTCAATTCCAGCAGCATAGACTTTCACGATTCGCTTGCATCGATGCGTGTCTGAGCAGTTGTCGTCATTAGCGACATGGATGGAGAATGAGCTGTCGACACAGTCTTTGGCCAATGCGTATGTGCACTGACCCCTAAAGCTGAAGTTTCTGCCATCAAACGTCCTATAGTGAGTCTGCCCCCAGCTGCTGCAGGTGCCTACATATCTTGACGGTGCCTCACCTGTGATTCACATAAAAATAATCGCTCTAGGAAGGGGAAAATACCGACCAGGAAAGCACCATTGCGTGGTATCGTATATATTATCATATATGTTCAATCAATCATTGAGAACTTATATCTAGGCCTATCTAGTTTCTTCGAATTGAGTTTATTAGGTAACTACGAAGTGTTACTGTTTCGTATATCTTCTCACACATATAAGCGCCCATGTCAATGAAATGTGAAGATTACAGCATGCATAAAAAGCAATTAATAAAATCTCGCATCTAGTTTTGGCTTACCAAGTACGATGTCATTAGCGGATGTGAGAAACGAATCTAGAAACAAAGCGAGATCAATAGTAAATGTTTATCAGTACATTAATATCTAAACCACGTTGATGCACGGTTCACGACTTTAATGTACTTTTTCGTTTACTATCTACCTGTCAATTGTAAGTCAAAAATAAATAAAAAGTAAGTAAGCAAAATGAATAACAAACATACGCACACCAATGGAAGGTAATAATTTTGGTCATTTGGCAATTTCTGTCTATTACAGGTAACCAAGAAAACGGAGGATGATTACTGCGGCCATACCGGTGGGAAGACACCTAGGTACAGATGGTGGATTCCAAGTTCCCTCCAAGTCACACACGTAGGTTTTGGTAACCGGCGTTTCAAATTGATAGCCCTGAGGACAGGACACCTTGCAGGAGCTTTCTCGCTGAGTGTGAGTGCATGATATGTGGCCAATAAAGCCCAGTGTCTTGGTACCACAGTTGGAAGTGGCTGGGTGTTAAAAAGAAATAAAAATTGGCGGTATAGGTACATATAAAAATCAATAGAAAACTGTATTTCCCACATTACAGTTAAATAACAAATATATCATACAGGAGAATTTTATGATTTATAGATTTAATACTCACGGTACTGGCACCGATCTCCTCTGAACTTGGCTGGACAGACGCATTGATTATGCTGGCATTTACCATCATTCAAGCAGTCTATGTCACATACGGCTGCAAAGAATTATCAATAATATTGAAATATAAATATTGCCCATTATTTAGCAGAAAATTAAATATTGTACTGTGAAACTTTATCCAACTTATTACCAATCATCTTCGTCTCTTCCTTGCAGCTGCGCGTAACGCATATACTGTCTCACCGTATAGTATTCTTGTCATTATTGAGCATGAATTTTGTCGCAGTAACGTATATTTTCTAAGCGTGGTGAAGCAAGCTCCTCTAATTCATTACAAGTCCGGTGATAAACTTTGATCATCTTACCTTCACAGTCGGGGAAGGAACTCACAGGTTCCCACCGGCCTATGTAGCTGTTACACTCGCTTACTAACTGAGTTTCTCCCGTGGGGAAGTGGTAACCATCGTGACAGGTCGCTTTACAGCGTCTGCATGACGCATATAAATACATTTGCATTGGATTTATTTGCTTGGGAATGAGTTACAATACACATTATCATATTGTTACGGATTCGATTGTACACAAACACGAATGCCCAATAGAAAATAATCGAATACATATTTTCTATTCAGCTCTTCATTAAAAAGAAGAAGCAGAAGGTGCTCTATTTAAACATAAAATCTCGTGTTTATATATCTTCGTTCAACAATCAACGACGACTAGCAGAAACATACAGTCATAACAAACTGTAGGAAATGGCTCATAAACATGTACCACTGTACAGGAAGAGATAAAAACGCGCTGTGATACCACAAATCGCGTTTTTCGTGCGCTATGTAGCACGTAAATACCCCCATACGCATTCACGTCAGAGTAAACAGTCGTTTATTGTGTGTTCTTCTCGGTAAAACCCCGGTACTCTTGTCTGTCCATTAACAACGTACATTCAAATCGACACCATTGACTAGCGCTTACTTCTTCACGTTGTCACCAGTCGTTGAGCACTCGATCCGAGAATTCTTAGGTGTTATTGGAAATTCGCATATATTTCCTGCAATATTTTATCGGATATAATAACATTACCACAGACAGTTTCGGTTGGGCAACAAATTCTTGTATCACAGCTAGTTTTCCGGAAATATTAAATATGTACTACACACACGCGCCAAAGCATGTAAAATTATTTTTGGAAATTATTAATATATTATTTGGTTAAGCAAAAATGTGAAAAAACGACGTAAAATTAATGTTACACACAACGCGTGTAACGGGCTGTGGACATTTATTTAAATACACTGTGTTCTCGGATCAAAGAATATTCATTACCTAGTATGTCCATGCCACCAGGATGTCCTGAAAACAGATTCCTCTAATTTATTAATTGTTCATCACCATGAAATAGTCTCTTACCGCAAATAGCTTATTAACTGTACGCTGCGGTCTGTTCATTGATGATAAACTATATAAAACGTATCAATTTTATTCAAAATGCCATTGAATTTAGATCAATTATAAAATTTTAACACAATTACTAATGTATGTTTGGACTTCCAAGACCGCAGCATACGAATTTCGTATTATATATACGGACGTCTCTCCGTGGCAGATAGAAAGAGCGTTTGTACAATTCAACCGTATTATATCCCACTTGAAAGGTTTTTTAACAGCATAATTTTCTTATAACAATTTAAATACTATAATAAATTTGGTAACGTACCCTATGTTAATTGATTGAAAAGGTTACGAATATACGTTAAGTGAATTGTAGAAGATATAGACATATAAGCCAAAACAGTATAGCAACAGGAAGGTTTACAACACCGTGCATACTAAATAATTAATACTAGTTGTATATACTAGTTGCTATATTACTGTAGGTGCATGAATTAATAGTAACACGTACCATAGTCCGATTGATAATCGCCTTGTCCTACGGGATAATCCCCTTGCTCCCCATCATATTGGCTAAATTGACTCATATAATCACTGGCACTGAAAAAAAACGTCCCTATAATTATGACGTAGGTCACAAATCGCTTATTACATTACATCAATAATACGCGCGCGTTCCCTCACAATTATGCACACAGTTATATGTATAATGTAGGAATATATAGGAAGTGAATAAACCATGGCAATAACAATTTAATGATATGATATTCATAGTTGTCACGCCCAATAATTACGTAACGTAATACGACTACGTAACATAAAATAACGAGAAACAAGGTTATAGCACAAAACGCAAAATTTAATAACAATGGTAAGCTATGTGCAAATCCTATTGTTTTAGCTACGGCAAACTTTTCAGCATGCTTGGTGCTTATATTCCATTTCATTACATTACGTGCCGTGTAAATTAATTATAACGATATAAGTTATACGTACCCATAACCAGATGATATCACAGAAAAGCAGACGAGCGCCTGGCATAGCCAGGTCCCCGTAATTGTTAGGGCCATCGGTGCCCTGCTGCTTCCCTCCTCACTTTTACTGCACAGTTTGCAGCCGTGGTTTCAGAAGATAGAAATCACTTCTCTCTAGACCTAAACGGGTTTCTCAATATAAACTTCTATAGCACTGTCTGTGCCAGAGGTTCAATTTAAAGAGGATGTGGGAACCGCGAGCGTTGGATTTTATAAACATGGACCTCAACGGATATGTGCCTACATGAAAATGTTTCCGACTTCCCCTCACACCCTGCGTGGCGTATGGCAAGGGGCACCGAGGTGGCTTTCAGGTGGGTCACTGCCAGCTCCTGGTTTATTTCGCGCACTATGTTTAAAATATCACATAACAATTCATGCTATGACAGAGGTTAACTGTTCATAAACGCATTGATACACTGATATTGAAAAACAGGTGATTTGCTATTGCATGGAAGCTTCTAAAATCCTATTTTAAACATTTGCCTAAATTTAATGTTGGTAAATATATTTTTAAAACAAACTAACTTTTTATTAAAAACTATATACATGCTTTTGTTGCTAACCCCCTACATGATAGGTCATGTGTACCCTTACAATCGTAACTATTAAAATAAGACATGAATGAAACTATTACATAATTTTGATAAAGTGTTATTTTAGATTTCCAATAAATCCTTTACGACCCCATATCCCTACCTGCAGTAAACCATCATCCCGGATGGAGTGTAGGTAGGTAATGTATGTGCGATGTGTTTTCAACAGAATCGACAGGATATGCCCACTCTTAAGGCTATCCTATTAACATGGCAAGTTGAATAAAGAGAACGCTAACTAGCATTAGATAATCAAAGAAAAAGCAACATCTAGCTTGTAGTAGTTGCACTTCATATGCAAAAAAGTTCTAACTTCTTTATATAATTGATATATAATTTTCATTATTTAAACTATAGCTGAATGTAATAATTTGCTATACTCGTTATTCGACATCAGGAGAACTTTAAAATTATGTTCATACATCCCATTCAGTTCACATATTCCATAGAACATTATTTAATACTTGTTCATTCGAGTTTTAAAACACAACAGAAGACTACATCAAGTACTAAACTACACAGAATATGTATTTTTAATGATGTACTAAACTATGTAAAGTATATATTTCATTAATGATGCGTTCAGAGCAGCCGGATAGTAAATCAATCAACTGCATGGGTGCAAGTGGAAGACTAAACCATAGTCAACCGGATTACGTTTGCTCCACCCAAGGATTTCTCCCTATACCACAGGCGTGTCTCTGATATGCCTCTGACGTACTTTCCCACCCACGACGAGGATATAATATTATGACAAATTGTTGTTTGTTATTACCATGATCCATTCCACAGCACATGTTTATTGGCGTCACCTGAAGGCTGAAACACATCCGTGTAACCACGATAATTAGACACACCTATCTATAGCGACAGGCACAACTTGTAGCAAAATGTCTGCGAGATAGGCGTGCAGCCAAAGTTGTAATGAAGGATCGTTAAATATGCAATTAGTTGAATGAACTATTATTATATCGTTTAACGCACAAGGGACGATTTTTGTTATGTTCATTATGTGTATTATAGCTATATGATTGGAGTCATTATCTACGTACAACCTTAACTACACCCTAAGACCAATAAACATTCTGTATTATCGGAGCCCATCCCCGTGAAATAATTCTTTCAAATGTTGAATTTTCTTAATAGATTTTAAAAAGTAATATTGTTTCTAATACTGAAATTAGTGATATAACATCATGTAACTCATATAATAAATGCTCTTTACATAATCAGTCTACATTTCATCTCGTCGTATGCTCATTATATGACCTGTCAGCGATCGTGAACAGTACGCGCGCACGCACACGCACACGCACACGCGCACGCACACGCACACGCACACGCACACGCACACGCACACGCACACGCACACGCACACGCACACTCGCGCACACACACACACACACACACACACACACACACACACACACACACACACACACACACACACACACACACACACTACAACACACAAACACACATATATATATATATACAGAGAGGGAGAGAGAGAGAGAGAGAGAGAGAGAGAGAGAGCTAGGAGAGAGTGGGGGAGAGCGAAAAGAAAGAGAACGCAAAAAAGAAAGAGAAAGAGAACGAGAGAGTGGACAGGAAGAGAGAGAGAGAGGGAGAGAGAGAGAAACTTGCTGACCCAAGGGATGGGTCATCAGTGCCATGGGCCAGTTCCCTTAAATCAATCAAGTGAAAACCCGCGTTTACGGATTGTTTTCCTAATTTACTGATAATTATATCATTAGGGGCCAAAAATTGCCATCACAAACATGTACCAGAATGTGCGACTGAACCCGGGGGGGGGGGGCACTCCCTACAAAATAGGGTAGGTATGTGCCACTTGAGAGATGGAAGTGTAATTCAGTACATCAAAATGGAGGGGGGGGGGCTCCGAAACGTGCGGAAAAAAGTAGGACATATGTGCAGGGACGGGAAATATGTCAGAAGGGGGTCTCCGGAATCAAAAATATTTGAAAAGGGGGGGTTTCCGGAACGGAAATTTGTGTAGTGAAAAGGGGGGTCTCTCACGCGGCACATACTTACCATACAATATATAGGGAGTGTCTCCCGGGGACTGAACCCGGCTGGGGAGCTTCACCATACTTCATCCTTGCAGTTTTCAACCATCCACCACCACACCTGCTGTCCCATCCCGACACGACAGTAGAGCTAGAGAACACACAGACGCGCTCGTACGTACCTACATGCGCGTACGTACCTATACACGCGCGTACGTACCTATACACGCGTGTACGTACCTACACGCGCGTAATACATACACGCGCGTACGTATACCTACACACGCGTATGTACCTACACGCGCGTACGTACCTACACGCGCGTACGTATACCTACACGCGCGTACGTATACCTACACACGCGTATGTACCTACACGCGCGTACATACCTACACGCGCGTACGTACCTACACGCGCGTACGTACCTACACGCGCGTACGTACCTACACGCGCGTACGTATATCTACAAACGCGTATGTACCTACACGCGCGTACGTACCTTCACGCGCGTACGTACCTACACACGCGCTCGTACGTACCTACACGCGCGTACGTATAGCCCAACACGCGTACGTACCTACACGCGCGTACGTATACCTACACACGCGTACGTACCTACACGCGCGTACGTACCTACACGCGCGTACGTATACCTACACGCGCGTACGTACCTACACGCGCGTATGTACTTACACGCGCGTACGTATACCTACACACGCGTACCGTACCTATACGCGCGTACTGTAGCCTACACGCGCGTACGTATACCTACCGCGAGTACGTGACATACACGCGCGTACGTTACTACGCGCGTACGGACACACGCGCGTAACGCTAGCCTACACGCGCGTACGTATACCTACACACGCGTATGTACCTACACGCGCGTACGTATATTTACACACGTGTACGTACCTACACGCGCGTACGTACCTACACGCGCGTACGTCTACCTACACACGCGTACGTACCTACACACGCGTATGTACCTACACGCGCGTACGTACGTACACGCGCGTACGTACCTACACACGCGTATGTACCTACACGCTCGTACGTACCTTCACGCGCGTACGTATATCTACACACGCGTACGCACCTACACACGCGCTCGTACGTACCTACACGCGCGTACGTACCTACACGCGTGTACGTATAGCTACACACGCGTATATACCTACACGCGCGTACGTACCTTCACGCGCGTACGTACCTACAGCACCACGCGCTCGTAACGTACCTACACACGCGTATCGTAACCTACACGCGTGTACGTATAGCTACACACGCGTATATACCTACACGCGCGTACGTACCTACACGCGCGTACGTATAGCTACACGCGCGTATGTACCTACACGCGCGTACGTACCTACACGCGCGTACGTATACCTACACGCGCGTACGTACCTACACGCGCGTACGTATACCTACACACGCGTATGTACCTACACGCGCGGACGTACCTTCACGCGCGTACGTATACCTACACACGCGTACGTATACCTACACGCGCGTACGTACCTACCACGCGCGTACGTATACCTACACACGCGCTAGTACGTACCTACACACGCGTATGTACCTACACGCGCGTACGTACCTACACGCGCGTATACGTACCTACACGCGCGTACGTACCTACACGCGCGTACGTACCTACACGGTGTACGTACCTACATGGCGCGTACATACCTACACGCGCGTACGTACCTACATGCGCGTACGTATACCTACACACGCGTATGTACCTACACGCGCGGACGTACCTTCACGCGCGTACGTATACCTACACACGCGTACGTATACCTACACACGCGTACGCACCTACACGCGCGTACGTACCTACACACGCGCTAGTACGTACCTACACACGCGTATGTACCTACACGCGCGTACGTACCTACACGCGCGTCGACCTACACGCGCGTACAATACCTTACACGCGCGTACGTACCTACATGCGCGTACGTATACCTACACACGCGTATGTACCTACACACGCGTATGTACTTACACACGCATATGCAGGGGCGGCGCCACAGGAGGGGCAGGGGGGGGCGGTCGCCCCCCTATCATTTGCCAAGAAAAAGGAAAGAAGAAGAAGAAAAAGAAAAAGAAAAAGAAAAGAAAGAAAAGAAAAAATAGAAAAAGGAAAGAAGAAGAAGAAGAAAAAGAAAAAGAAAAAGAAACATCTTGCAAATGTCTTGCAAATGATGGGTGGGGTGGGTCACCCCCCCCCCCCCCCCATTTTGCAGAAAAGGTAAAGAAGAAGAAGATTCTTGCAAATAATAAGGAGATCGCCCAAAAAGTAGTGATGTAGCCTACAAGCTGGACCACTTTCATCGAAAAATCGAAAAATTCAAGTGTCGAAATTCAATCCACATAAAACCTGTGCTTAATTTGATAATCGATGTCAAAGTGTTATCTCCTTGGGAGTCCCAAGTTGCGGACCATCATTTGTCGATGATGCTGTTTCCGCGCGGAAAGGTAGGCACACTTGAGGGTTGTTAACAACTTGTAAATTATAATTACAACGTTCAGACTGACCTCTAATAATACTCTTACATGCTATCTTA